CAATCTGCTGCAAAAAGAGGCTTCTTTGATGAGTAGTGAGACGTATACTTGTCTGAAAATATAAAGACTCATATTTAGCATACAGTAAGAAATTACATTTGTCTAGGGATGTGACAGATGTAGGTTTTTCTCTAAGATCTATGACCTCTCCAGCCATGTGTATTTGGCTGTGTTTACTGTACCACACATGAGTTCTTTCCCATTGAGCAGGCTTTAAGTCCAATTAGATAGCTGTTGATTACCCCCAAGATAAAAGTGCCAGTACTGCACTTGCTACACCAGTCATTGTTGTGGGTATTAGGCTTTAGAGCTGGGTTGACCACTGATTGATTACCCCCCCATAGCAGCTTGCATAGTGTCCTATGACACTATGAGAGCTAGCTTTCGGGGAGCAGGTTACCAGGTCAGTTCCAGCTCAATTGCCCCAAGTTCTGTGTCTAATGTAGGTAGTGTCTTCAGCATTAGGGTCTTACCTTGTAGTTCTACAAGGCAATAAAGGGCTGTGGCAAAAGCTTAACAAAATAGACTTCAAGTTAAAATCAATCAGAAGAAATAAAGAAGGTCACTACATTCTGACGAATTGACCAAGAAGACATCAGAAACATGAGTGCATATGCACCATAACCTGCTTTACTGACCTCAGCTCTACCCGCATCAGAGCTTCATTCAGTCAGATGAAGAAAGCCCTGTATTCAGTAGTGTTGGCCTTAGGGGACACAAGAGGCATCCTTCTTACCTGATGCTCTGAGGGTGAAGAGTGATTAAACAATTGGAGACTATGAAAAGCATGCACTTTGCATCCTTATGATAATATTGGGGGGTTTTGTAATCCTTACACAGACAAAGCAGAGTCTGGATACTATGTAATCACGACTCATCAGAACAAAGGGACCCAGAGCAGGAAAACATAGAGAAATGACTGTTGTGATATTCATCAGCCACCAGCTGGGATCATATAGAAAAGTAATCCAGCCTTGTGAGATGGAGGAGATGCTATAAAAAAACTAGAAAGGTGGACACCAGAACCAAGATGTTTTGGATGGCTCTGGTCTCATGGGAGGGCCTGATGGAAGCATGAGAGCTGCAGATCTGTAGAACCCGGTGCTTGCAGCTGTACAGAAAGACAACTATGGAGCCGCTGGACCAGGCCATGAGCACAGAGAACAAAACTTCAGGGAACACCAGTGATGCTACGTACATTGATTCTATGATTTTATCATGACCTATCGTACAGCAGTATCCTTAATCTCTTTTCTCTGTCATGTTTTAGCCATTCAATTTGGTGTATAAAAGGAGAGGGAAAATAAAATTTAGCGCCAGGATCCAGCAGAGGGAAATGCAGAGGCCAATGTACTTTGGAGCTTTGACATTAAGAGTCTTTCAAGAAGAGTTCCTGGGGCTGATGGTGATGGCCCAGAAGACACTCAAGAGGCAGGTGGTGCTGATGGGCATGCTCCCGCCTACTCCATGAACATACAAAAGAAATTTGCAGCCCAAATCATTGAAGAACTGCTTAAATCCAAAAGCTGACGTTGTGTGGGGCACTCCTTTAGCTAGGAGAAGCAAGAAGTTAGCTGTGATCAGATGTGTGAGAATCAAATCTGTGGGCTTTAATGTGCATTCATTGTAATAAAGGACTACTAGATTGTAGGAAAGAAGAGAGACATTTCCCAGAATTCCTGTTGTAGTCTGAGATAAGAACGTGATTCCCATTGCTGGATCTCTGTAGTCCATTCTGACATCTATTATATTTTCTTTTACATTATATCAACAGTCATTCCTTTGACCAAAATAATTCAGTAATTTTTTTTTAGTCATCAGTGTGATGTCCACCTGTCATTCTACAACCTGAATGGGAGGTTGGAGCAAGAGAATCATTTGGAATCTGCCGTATGAAGTCAACCTGAGCCAAACAGCATAACCCTGTTTAAATAATTTTTTTGACGAGACAACCGAAGCCATCAGAATGTTTCCATGGAAAATGGTGCTCTGAGTAAAAGCTCTGTGTGGAAGGCTTCTCACAGGGTGAGGTGATGCTGCCTGAGAGACACAGAGAAAATGGAGGCAAAGCATCAGTCTACATTTCCAGAAGAGCTGATATTTGCTCATCATATCAGAAAAAGAACAAATTTGTCACCACCAATATCTTAGAATAGTTCTAAATGTATTTGTCTTCTAAATCTTAAAGAAATTAATGAAAATGTCACCATCGTAAAATGTATATATCTGTGACATTTTAGAAGAAAATGCTTCGTAATGATCCTAAATCATCATGATTGATATAGGTGAAAAGACAAATTATATGACAAAATCAAGAAGCAGTTCTCATGTAGTAACATGCAAACACATGCATGAATGCACACATGTGGTTATCCTAGGGACGTATGTTATAACCAATGCACAGAACTCTCACAGAACACACAAAAGTTGGGCAAAAATTCCAACAAATTCTAAGATCTTACTGGTATCTAAACTCGGGAATATCTGATGATTAAAAAATGTCTGTATCCATATGTTTGAGAACTGAGTATTGTCTCTAACTTGTGTCTATCATGATGAAGTAACATTTGGTGTTAAAGAAAAAACAAAACAAAACACAATGCTCAACATTCCATTTACAGTCTGATGCATGTGATCCATTTCCTTGTCCAGACGGTGGAAGTCACTATGCCTGTTTCTAGTCATGGCATTTGTGTTCAGAGTCACAGGATTCTAAGCAGGTATGTGCAGAATGACCACATTTATCATGTCACTGACACTCAATACTCAATTTATACACTTACAGTTTTATTTTGTTAAGCGTCCTCTTGGAGCAAAGTCTATCACATGTGTGAATGTCCAACTGCAATGACAGTTCATGAATTGCTGCTCTCCTGCTAATTTGCCCGTTTCTTCGGTTTTCATTACCATCTGACATGGACAGTAGCATTATTTTCATCTTGAAGACAAGATCTTAGAAACACAAAGGGTATGTGACTATTCAAATTCAAAGCTGCTTGGGGGCAGAGTGTAGGCCTGGAAGATTGCAACACTTCCTGGCTGGCTGCGGGGACAGTCCTCTAAGTCTTTGCTCACTGCACCATGGGAACATGTTTTCAAAGGTTCAGTATTTTTCCCCACAACTTGACATTTTATTCACTTCTCTGGTATTTTATTGTATGACATTGTCCATAAAAAGTTTTTGTTTTGGCATAAAGATTTAGTTTATAAGGGAATGACAAAAGAAAAAAGCCTCAGATATTTTAATTAAAGCAGTGCTTGTTAGGGAAAGAGGAATTTACTGCTTGTTTGAATATACTGCTTGTTTGAATATACTGCTTGTCTGAATTTACTGCTTGAATTTACTTGTTTAAATTTACTGCTTGTAACCAATTAACTCAACTGGAGACACAGGCATCCAGAGATAGAGGCAAGTGCTGCAGCCCCCCCCCCTGGAGCCTGACCTTTTCTGTGTCATGTCATGTAGACATGTCTGCTTACACAAGATAACAGGAAAGAGCCATGCCAGGCATATACCAAGCATCTCTCCCCAATTGAGACACCTGAAGGGAGTTGTAACATTTTTCTTGTTTTAAAGTTATTGGTTTGTGAAATGCTTGCTTTGAAACTATTGGCTGTATAAACACGGGCTTTTGTGTAATGGTTGTGGGAGCCTATGTAATCTTTACCTAAAATTGCCTCAGGGTCGATCGCTCTAACCAGACCTGTGTGTCTTGGAAGGACGGTCAGCCCCAGCTAGCTGGTTTAATAAAACTCTGCTTGATTTTTGCATCTCCATACTCATGCATTTGTTCTACTGAAGAGACCCACCGAGTCACGGACCCTAACATTTTGGGGGCTCATCCTGGATTCGGGGGGGGCTTCTGGGAACAAAGGACGAATGGAGGCAGAGTTTCTTTTCTTCGGACAGGGCAGTGTAATTCGAGGGTCGCCCCCTCGTGTCTGTAAAATCCAGAATAAAGCAAGAGTCACCATCTCGTGTCTGGTCTCGGGTTAGTAATCCCAAGTGAGGAAGTCCGGGTTCAAGTCCCGGCACCTAGGTAAAAGTCCAGGTAACCAGCCCTGGCCCTAGGGTCTGAGTGTCTCGGCCCTAGGAAGAAAGCCTGCCATCAAATCTGGCACCTGAGGAGGAAAAAAAAAAAAATCGAGCTCGTTACCTTGAGGCAGTCCGAGTGGACACCTTTTGGGAGAATCACGAGGAGTCTCGGGGATCCCGAAAGTGAGAGTGGTGAGTGCAGCGCGCATCTGAGGAAAGAAGGACCGGGTCCGAGTGAATGCAGTGAGATGTGGTGCGCCTGCTTGATAATTGTGCTAATTATCTTAATGGGGGGGGGTCTGGTTTTGTATTTTTCTCTACGCTCTCTATTTTAAACCTTCCTTTCCTCCTTTTTCCTTCCTTTTATTCTCGGTCTAAGTAGACAAAACCCTTTATCTGTATCTCCCACCCCTCTCCATTCCTCTCTCCGGCCACTGAAAAAAAAAACCCACGGCCGGGGCTGCGCAGGCTCTGGGGCAGCTACACCATGGCCACCGCCTGGGGCATGAAGATCTCCAGGTGGCACCGCCAGATGAAGTTCGAGTGGCCCATGCTCACGTCCACCGAGCCCTGCGACCAGTTGTGCCTGATGGTCACCAAGCGCCTCTTCATGAGGTACTCGAACTCGTGGCCCTCCAGCCGTGCCATGGCCCAGCCACCCGGTGGGGACCTGCCACCCCCAGCCCTGCCACCCGCGGGAGGGGTGCCTGTGCCTGACAGCACCGCTGCTGCCACCACCACCGCCACCACCTGCCGCCCACCCGCTAGGCTCCTAGGGCCGCTGCCACAACGCTAAGCTGCACTGCCTGTGCCCAGGGCTCGGGAGGGGGCCGCGGAGGAGCCGCCCCCCTGGCCCCTGATCCCCGCACCCCGGCCCCTGCCATGGCGCTCTGGCTGCCACCGCACCCCACGCAGCCAGGCTAGGGTGATGTGGGAGCCCTTGGACCGCGGCCCCAGTGGGCACCATGAGCCCCCTACTCCACCGCCTGCTGCTCGCTGCACTGCTGCAGCTGGCTGGCACCCAGGCCCCTGTCTCCCAGCTTGATGCCCCTGATCACCAGAAGAAAGTGGTGCCCAGGTGCCCAGCTGAGTGACTGTGCAACGCTGTGGTGGCTGCTGCCCTGATGACGGCCTGGAATGTGTGCCCACTGGGCAGCACCAAGTCCGAATGCAGATCCTCATGACCCAGTACCCTAGCAGTCAGCTGGGGGAGATGTCCTTGGAAGAACACAGCCAATGTGAATGCAGACCCAAACAAAAGGAAAGTGCTGGGAAGCCAAACAGTGCTGCCATGCCCCACCACCGTCCCCAGCCCTGCTCTGTTCTGGGCTGGAATTCCGCCCCGGAGCACCCTCCCCAGCTGACATCATCCATCCCACTCCAGCCCCAGGATCCTCTGTCCACGCTGCACCCAGCACCGTCAGCGCCCTGACCCCTGGACCTGCCGCTGCTGCTGTAGATGCCACAGCTTCCTCCATTGAAGAGGGGAGCCCAGAACACCCCAGCCCAGGAGATCTCAGCTGGGGCTCCAGAAGGGCCAGGGACAGAAGCTGAGGTAGAAGAGACTGAACTCTTAAAGGCCAAGGAGATGCCTGGGGGTTCTAGGATACTGAGAACAGAGA